AAAAAGAAATATCTTTAGAAGGATAAACAGCTGAAAGCGGAAGGAATGCAACCTATATGTACAAATAATATTAACCAGGTCTACATTTTAAGACATGAAAAGAAAGTATAAGTAAGTAAAATATTCATTGACACGCTCGCAAAAAAAACTGACTTATAAGTGGAACCACTCAAAATTCTTTTTTACAAACTGCCCCCCCTCCCCAGTGGCATAGCGGTGTGTCTGCGGACTTACAATGCTAGAAACCGGGTTTCGATAACCGTGGTGGGCAGAGCACAGATAGCCCATTGTGTAGCTTTGTGCTTAATTCCAAAACAAACAATTTTACAAACTGAACTTAAGCGATCGGAACTATACTTCAGAAAAGACTCACCATCATTAAAGTTACAGATGGAAGCGACTAGAACTATTTATAGGAAAGAAATAACCAGAACAATGATTCTAATCAAAAACAAACCTATAATTACACACAAATAGAAATAGTCAGAACGATATTTGTGATATCAAAATTTGGTACACTACAAAATCTTACACGAACACTTTCTAATACTGAAAATTTATACCACATCGAAAAAAAAGATAATTTTAGACGAAGTTTACTGCTTATTATTGTATTGAAATAATTGCAAATTTATCTATCAGTATATGTTATCTATGAAATAATTTGTAAGCTTACTTGTCTATTTGACTTACTGTATTACTTGTGGCACTATACTGAAACTCATAGTGATTAAAATATGTTCGCTTATTGGATGAATAATTTCACTGTTTGTTGTTTTTCTGCCAAGCGCTGTTTACTAGGTTTATTTGATTAAAACACATTGGTTAGGCCTACATTCAAATTAATCATTATGCATAGTGGAAAAAAAGTGACTATACTGTTTTTTTTTCATTTATAATGCGGTTTAATTTCTAATTAATACTCTGAAACAAACAATAATTCAATTGGTTTCAAATGTCTTCCTAATATTTTATTTTGGATCAATCGTATAATGATAACTGTACCATCAGTATAGTACCTTTCGTCCTACCCTGTATATGTATGATAACTGTACCATCAGTATAGTACCTTTCGCCTACCCTGTATATGTATGATAACTGTACCATCAGTATAGTACCTTTCGCCCTACCCTGTATATGTCTTTAAGATATGAAGAAGTTCAAAATATTCGGTAAATAAATACCTATGATCATCTTTCGATTTTAATTTAGTATTAAGTACATGTAAACACAATACAATATTTTCATTAAATTTGAAACGTAAAAGAAAGGGAGGATGATACATAACAACTGCGTACTTCCAATTAATTTAAGTTTCATTTAATTACTAAGCCATCAAGAACTCGCATCGTGTGGCATACCCGTTACTTAACATCTAAGAAAAGAAAAACAAAATAACTAGCCTTCTCAATGATTTCTTTGACTAGTCCATTCCATTCACCTGTTGTCGTATTCTCAGCGCCAAACTTGTTATCAGCCACTAGATTCAGCTCATAATGAAACCCTAACATGCCGGCAATAGTTTCCAAAAGGTCAATACAGAACCCTTCGAACCGGTCATTTCCAGTAACATTTCTCTTTGATTTCAACATAACATAGGGCACACTCTAGAGATAACAAGATAAGTGTAATAACCAGGATTAGACATAGACAGACAAAGAAAAATTAATTTTAACAAATTAGAAGGAAACACATTAATTAAACCCGAAGGCTGTAAGTCTTTATTTTTTGTATGTTAAATGTAATAATATATCATTCATAAAAGGATTCATATTAACGTTTAATGGAATTACCGAATTACAGTTGTGAACTTACATTCTTTTATTGTATAAATAATACTGAAAAGGTTTATTAACTACCTTATCTATTTAATTAAAATAGTAACGTGCGTGGGAAGCTTTTCAAACTTAATTAAACTATGCAAAAATTAAATTAGAAATAGGGACGTATAGACGACGTCACCAGATGGGTAAGGGAGAAGTATGTTTAGAAAGTACTATGAATTACAAAGCGAAAAGTATTTGGGGAAAGGATCTGTCATCCCTCAGAGCCCCATTTTCGAAAGCATAGCTTATGTGTTAAGATTCTCTGTGCTAACTTATTCATTTGTCTATACATACACTTAGAGTACCTGTACCGACACCTTGTTGAATTTTAGTACTGGCCCCCAGTTCCCAGGATTTGAAAGCGTCGATAGATCTGGTGTCTCTTAGTAAGCCGATGGGCTTATCATTTTGATCAGAACATTTGTTTCAAAGTGTCTTTTGTACTAGAGGTGTTTAATGGGTATCATGTGTTGTGGAATACGTTTAATCCCACTTAAGTATAACCTCGTAGCCATTGAGACGCCCCTCATGGCTATCAGATTCGTTCAGAACTCTATGTAACGAATCTCACATGTGTAATCTAAGTAGGTCACTTAATTATTTTTAAGCACACAACAGCGTGTTTATATTCTTTAAATCTTGTGCATTCAGGTACGAAATACTACAACCAAAAAATGCCCTAATTTAATATTACTATACATATGTTACACCTGCCGAAAAGCTTTTGAGGGATACATTGTGTTAAATATGTTTTCTTTAACTTATATTTAAGCATTATTTTCCAATCCCTTTGGAGATTATAGCGATGGTAAGCTTTTATTGTTGTAAGATAAAACATAATAAGCCAGGACTTTAAACTTTATAGTTATTATATAAAGGGCATGAATGGTATTGAACATATCATTATTCTTGTTCTATGGAAAAAAATAATAAAGAATAACCTTGAGTTTTATCGTTTTGTCATTGAAACAATATTTTACCAAAGTCACAAACCTTTATTTTTTTCATACTATAAACATATTAATGTTCTAGCTTGTGAGTTTTCGTTGTTGTAATTAAATTATTGGCGTCTAGTGTACGTACGAAAGAAGTGTCCATGTTTTTATTGACGGTTTTCAAACGTTTGGTTTTATTTTGTTATCTATACACGATTTTGTTGGTAACTTGAGTAATAAGAAGAAACCTATACAAGCTCGTTGAACTAAAAACAAATGGTGTCAATTTGGGATCGTTGCGCTCTTTTGACTCCCTTGTTTCCTAGGAAATGCGGAATAAAAAATATGATGATTAATCTTCCAAACACTAATGTCTCTTGTTCCTGAAACGATGAACAAGAGGATTCACAATTTTTCTTAGTAGAATATTCCTGCCGCAGTCGTTCAGCCGTAAACCTGGTTGCGATGCAATCTCAAACCTTCACCATAGCTAAGACCATTCACCATTCAATATTGGGTAATCCAGTGGAAACAACGCTAGAAGACAATAACGTTTTGTTATGACCAAAAGTATCTACAATATCACCTCCTTTTTACGAAAAAAAAAGGAAGAAAACTAAGGTCATATCCTATAAGTTTGTGGCATTGCATAAAAGAACAAAAACCCTGTACTGAAGTTCAGACTGCATACGCTGTCTTGTATAACCGTCGTTCATACTCAAGTTTTAACAGTCGCATGATTTTGCGTTATTCAGTCTTTATTTCATTATAATATATATTAAAAAAAAAGGAGTTCTCGAAATGGAATAAAATCTAATTTCTTTTCTGTTATAGCTTCTAACAAACTTCATTGAATGGTAACTTCAATAATTCAGTTCTCAGTAAAACGAAAAAGCAACAACCTAAAAGATACATCAAGGACAAAATAATACAAGCACAACGTCTTACTATAGTTGACTATTTGTAACCACAATAAGAGTAAAAAATGGTAATGTGAAGATCACTTGTGGATGTTAAAACCTAGACGACACTCTTACTAAGATTGTTGGGTTATCTAATCTATCCATTCCCAAGAGAAACGCCTAGTACACTTATCTGTTTTACTAAGATAGCACCATGAAACACTAAGTAGTAATTACTGTAATCCAAAAACGACTCAAAAGGCACGAACATTTCAAAGGGCGGTCCTTTTTGGGATGTATCTATAAGAATAAATGTGGTAGTCGTAGTGATGTTGTCAACTGATCAATCAACTACTATAATGTGTATACAAAGGCAGAGAGTACTGGAAAAAAAGTAGACTAGCAAAGTGTCGAATGTACAACAGAAGAAATTTCGACTAACCACATAGTAGAAGAAATATATATCACAAATATATTTGCAGAAAATGATAAAAAATATAATACTTGAACGGTAAAAATAACAGACATTGAAAGCACGAAACAGTTATATAAATTACTTGAAAATAAGATACACAAAAATAGTGAGTTAAAGATTACTATTAATGTGAAACAAGAAGCATTTTAGGAATTATTTTTCCTGCATTTTTGTAAGCGATCCTTAAGATGAGAACATCAGAAAATTGTAAAGAAAATACAAAAGTTTGTTGTTAATTCGGGTTGTAAGTAAGTAACAACGGACACCTTAAGAGTAATTTTGCTTTAGTTCTGCTTTTAATATTCTTGCATTGTGACATAAGTCTGCGCACAGAAACAGAGTCTTATTCAACAATAGTTTTGACTTTTGAGGACCTTTGAAAGTGCCACGAAATAAATCATCATGTGTTCATGAGTGCATTTACTAAAACACTTTTCCAAATGAAAATATGTCATTCATATAGTGTAACATTGTTTCTGATAAATGTCTAGAAGTGGTAGATTAGAGTCATTTGGATATGATGCTTTTGCCTAAGTCTAATTAAAAAGAATTATTCTTCTCAACGCAAAAATGTTGTGTGGCTTATCCAGGTCTAGTAGTAGATCCAAGAGAACCCCCAACTTCTGTAGAAGAAGCAACCATCAATAGTGTAAAGAAGGGGAGAGGGTTTGGTTGATAATATTTAAAAAGGAAGCGTGAGGTGTTATTGATGTACGACTGCATACGCTGTATTGAATAACCTTTGTTTATATCCAAGCTTTAACTGTTACATAACTAAGGTCATGTCCTATACGTCTGTGGCATTGACTAAAACAACAGACACAGGTTCTACTGGATACACTATCTTGAATAACCTTTGTTTATAACCAAACTTTAACAGTTACATAACTAAGGTCATGTCCTATACGTCTGTAGCATTGCCTGGAACAACAGACACAGGTTCAGACTGGATACACTGTCTTGAATAACCTTTGTTATATCCAAACTTTAACAGTTACATAACTAAGGTCATGTCCTATACGTCTGTAGCATTGCCTGGAACAACAGACACAGGTTCAGACTGGATACACTGTCTTGAATAACCTTTGTTATATCCAAACTTTAACAGTTACATAACTAAGGTCATGTACTATAAGTCTGTAGCATTGCCTAGAACAACAGACACATGTTCAGACTGGATACACCGTCTTGTGTTAGCTACTAACTGTTTCTCTTGATGAAGAAAGGACTTCTACTCAACTTTAAAAGCGCTCCATAGTTTAGGTTCGTTTTTAGAATAAGTTTAATGAAGCAAGTGACCCTCAAATCTGACCGTTTAAACGTCAGGTTTTTTCTATAAACCTGATAACGTTGTAAGACATACAATATTAACATTTTATTGATTTTTCGATTTCAGAACACTAAAATGTCTTTTACTTGCTTATATTAAAAGTTCTAATGCTCCTGGTGAGTAAGAGGTAGGTACTCAACCCTAGTGGCAAATTTAGACACTTATTTTGTATCTATCATTTTCTTATCGCTTAAACGTAAAACAAGTACACTGAACAACTAATACATGGTTAAAAATATGTGAAAAGATTCTTCAAATTAGCTCATTTATTGTTTATTGTATTAAGGCCCAATTCATATTTTTATTTATGGGTGACTATGGTTTCAAATGTGTGAGACTCAGGCAGCGCTTACAAAATGCACAAAAAAGATAACCATTTATCTAAGAAACAAATTACCTCGATCGTTGTGACTTTCAGTGTTATATTTGTTGAACCAAACTCATGAAAAGCTAGTCGGTTTGTAATGTTTAGTCCTTGTGACATCGACCATTCTCCCACCTATAAAAGAACATTGAAATATCGTTTTACTAATATAATAATTGGATTATTTCCACGGAAAGAATTAACAATAAAGTGTACTAAGATTACATTATTACTGAGTTACATGGAATGAGCTAATAATAACCTTTTAATTATCACACTTAAACTTGTTTTGTGAATCAAAATCGTTTCTAAAGCACATGTAAAAAAGGGGATGTAAAGTGGGGAGCTCATTTTTTATAATGCTTAGATAAATTATATTTCACCATTTAATGATATTTTAGGCTGATTCGAATGGAGTTGTTGAAATGAAACATGACTTGTAATATCTGCAAGTTAATGCAGCTACACGTACGGGAAGGTTAAAATTGAAAAGCGTAGTCAAAATCATCAGATATTTTAAGTTAAAGAATACAGTACGCGACATACTAGTAGACAGAAAATATGGGTTGATTTTCAACACTCTTTTAAAACTCATAATAACCAGAAAAGAGTGGGTTTCAGAAGAGTTCGAGCCTCGGTGGTAAATATACTTCAACGGAATTAACCACATAATATGTGTGGGTTAAATTGCAACAAAGAGTTTTATAATGACTACAGATTACTGATTGATATAAGACTATGTATAACAGTGCGTAGAAATTGCTTAAAATTAATTCAAGTGAGATATGGGGAGACACATTATTAATGGACTTAGTTGTGTGAGATGGACTTAGTTGTGTGAGAATTTTGGTTACGCGAGACACTGCCTGAGATGTTTTATTATTAATGTAATGTTTTTTGTAAATAACCTGTTTGACGTGAAGACCATTAGCCAATTGGAAACATCTTCCGTGTTTAAACTATTCTATTATTTTTAACAGTTTGTTGATATTTAATTCTACATTTAACAATTTTAATTTTTTTTAAAACAAATTCGAAGCTGCATTTTTTCTAAAATTCTGGTTGCAAAGATAACTCAAAATCTGGTTACAAAGATAACTCAAACTTTCATTTCTTACCGTGTTGTACAAAAATATTGATTTTTACTCTGCGGTTATTAAATACTATAGGATTCGTCTGACAAAATCACAGAGATTAATGAGATTATACACATAGGAGAGATCGCGTGTTGGTATTACTCGGTATTCGAAACGCATACACACACAAAATATAGCAGCAAACCAACCTTTTCAATATCATTTTGTCTGAGTTTCAGTAAATCTAGCTTCAGATTATTTCGTCTTCCTTCTTTGAATTGAATTTTTCCTGTGAGACCTCTAAACTCAGCCTATGTAATAAAACAAGTTTACTACTGGATTAAAAATCTTTAATGACACAGGAAAGGCCTACTCTCATTGTACGCATGTTCAAAATTAATTTATTTTTACTCATTCATAAAGACTTGGCACACAAAT